ACAGGAAAAGAAGAAGAAAAAAATAGTTGCAAACAAACAAGCAACAGAAAAAAGCGCAAAAAGGAAAAAACCCAAAGCGACCTGGCCTCCCCCTCAAAACGCGAAACAACAGGTTTTAAAAATCCGCCTAGAGAAAAAAGTAACCCCCCCCCCCCCCTAAGAGGGCCTAATTGGTCTAAGATAGGGCATGGGAAATAATGAATAGGAAAGGTCCACACTTGATTATTTTGGTTGGTTTTAAAACCAATCATATTCCTCAACATTTTACCACTAAGTTGCTTTTACAGTACGACTACTATAACTGGGGTCACCTAGACAAAGTTGACCAATCGTATTACAGGAAAATAACAATACGTTCCGAGACAGTTAGTTGTCAATTGCAAAATTGAAGTAAACAACATGGATTAAAATCGACCAATTGCAACATACAGACATTACGTTTTGAACCCGCTGAAGAAAACCACTCCTGTGGGCTAAACTTCAGAATACCCGGCCAATTCTTTGCATATCATTGAATAACAAAAGTGCCTATTGTGTTATACCTCGTTCTTTAAAGTGTTCCGACAAATGTAAATGATGTGGCCGTGTATTCTGAAGTTGCTCCGTCCTGTGTTTTTTGAGAGGTCCGTTAGAGTAAATGAAGGAGACAAAAAATGTAAACATTGTTAAATTTTTGTTTTTGAGATCATGATGTTATTGCAAAGCGGGGCAATGGTAGCGAAGAAATAAAGGCTTGTGTCAATGTAAGGTTGTGAACATTGTCTGATGAAACATTTTGCTTTCTTGAAAAACATTTGCTATCAATATTTCAATTTTGTGCTTCAAGTAACATTCTTGTCTTTTTACAAGCTGCTGATTGGCCCACAACCGACTTTCTTGGAATGTATATTTATTTTCCTATAAATTTCTCACTGGTCAACTTTATCCAAGTGGTCCTAGTTATAATAGTCCCACTGTAAAAATGTAATGAGGCCGAGATTTGCATCAGTTGAATAATAACAATGGTCAATAAATAATTCAGGATGGTTCAATGTCTCAATAACCTTAGTTAATTAATTATATTATATATGGCTGACTCAAACTAAAATATTGTTATCAAATGCAGTACAGGTATTCTCATTTTTTAATACGCTATTTCACTGAATTCAGAAAATTGAAAGTTTATAGTAAAATCTATGCGGCATATCTTATTACACGTCAGCACTATACAGTATCATGGACCGTGGTCTATTGAGAGCCTGGGCTGAGCATATAAAAAGAGTTTTTTATGATATTTTGATCACGACTAAGCTATTGAAGGTGAAGATCTGAAGTGAAAGACACTCTTGTCTGTGAAAAGCAGGTAGGTTATTGTACGTGCACTGGTGATTTAGGTGTTCTTCTATATTAGTACTGGTAATCGACTTTGAACCACCCTAATGACTACCACTTGCCACGTAAAAAAGCCCAATATTTTTAAAAGGTCAGACAATAAAAGACTCGAATGCTTAAGTAATCGCGATCCCAGATGAACAATGGTAGTGTCTGGTGAACGAAAGCAAAATTTTTGCGCAAGAATGAGAAAAAAATGTAAAGATGATCTCAGAAGCAGTGATATTTAGTTAAAAAAAAATAAATCCATAAATGATCTAGAGGCCATACCACGAGAGCGCCAAATTCGAATCTCGACTGGGCAGCGTCTGGACCAAAATCCGCGAAATCGTTCGCATGGATTGGTACTAAAATATAACAAAACGTTCATATTAAGTAATGTTAAGGATATAAGGAATGCATTTTACATGAAGATAAAGTGACCCACACTTACCAAGAAAAAGAAATGAACAGATCAGCTGAAAAGCACATCTCATTTTGCGAGAAAACTGCCTGAATGAACTGACGAGAGGAGACTGGAAACAACTTTATTTATTGTTATGGTATTGCGGGCTCAAGAGAATCCAAGATGGCTGACATGGAGGAAGATGAGGACATAAGAGTCTTGGTATTAAAATATAAAAAATAGTCTTGTTATTAGCCTTTTGCTAGCCCAAAATGACTTTATAATATTATTAGTAAATTTATTTTATATCCTACCTACATAGAGGCTAGAATTTGAGTGGCTGCTGAGAGAACATGTGCCTAAAGTCTTGGCTCAGCTTGGTTCCATATTGCAGGTATTGTTATTCCTTCCTCCTTCATATTGTAATTGGATTATATAGCCTTAAAGCTTTACTAGAATTATTTTACTTTAATCAGGTAAGATGGAGAGAGTCACTGGCACGGCATTCAATTTTGTGGTCAGAAATGTGAATAAGGATTGTTTCACAGTTATGATATAAGTAGCAGCTACATGCAAAAAAAATGCAGAAACTAATTGAATCAAGAAAACATTACCATTCTTCCCTTCCTCCAACAAAGATATAGAAAAGAGAAGAAAAGTTAAACTACCACAGTTCCAACTGATTTTTATTTCTACGTTTGTTTGGTCCTTTTTTTTTCTTGCTTACATTTTAAGTTTTTTCAAGCTAAAACGTATTTTTGAACAAGTGTGGTAAAAGGCAAAAACATCAAAGGCTTAACTACATAATACGGGGCAAATTTTCTAGGTATATTTGTTGGGGTGGGTTGGTGGCTCGGAAGTCCCGGCTGATGAGTAACTGCATACATGCCAACCCTCCCGGATTATCCGGGAGTCTCCCGGATACGACACCAATCTCCCGGTCTCCCGTACGGGTCGCTTTATCTCCTGGATAAAATCATCTTTTGAGCTTTTCTGTGCCTTAGTTTGAAATTTAGCCCATTTTTAGCTCAAAACTTGAATTTTTCTTATTTGTAACTGTAGTACGGTTCCTGAGGCATTTTACACCTATTTAGTCACTGACAAAGATTATTTCTGGCATCAAAACGATGATCGCAAATTTGGATAGTATCTACTTCATGTAAGACTTGATATAATGTCCTAAATTTCTGGGGTAGGGGGCTAGTGAAAAACAGAGAGTCTCCAGATTTTAAATCTCTAGAGGTTGGCATCTCTGTAACTGAGCCGTGGAGCCACTTATCAAATATATACCTTACTCGCTGACTGACAAGCTATCAGGCCACCGAGCCAAAAAAATATATACCTTTACTTGCTCTTTAAATTTGATACTTTCATCTCTTTTTTTTTGTCTGTTGTATACTTATGTCTTAAACCTGTATCTTTCTTGTTCTTTGAACACTTGTCTTGACTAGTGAGCCACCGGGCCACTTCTGTTAAAAGACCTTAAAATATGGCCCTATATAATATATGCTGTACAATATATGCTTGGTCAAATGAACTGAAATGGATTACCTTAATTAAGCTTCACATGACATTTAAAGAATTATGTAGTTAATTTGTCAGTCAATTCTGATATTTTATGGCCTTTACTTATTGTCATATTTCAAAGGAATGTTCCAAATGCTTAAAACTCTCAAGCATACCACCAAAAGGACCGACAGGAGAAATTCAAGGTAGAGAAAATTTGATGGCACAGCTTATCATCTTACTCAATGGGATATTGATTAATTGTTGTTGAAAATATTCAAGTGATAAAATATTTTACCTCATCAAGAAATTGAAGGGATGGGTGGGATAAGTAGAGTGCAAAACAGCCTGTATTTTTGGGTAGTTCAAGAACGTGAGCCGTCAAATGAAAGGTTCAGAGCAAGGGTAAAAACGAGGATCGAGGCTGGGTAGAGATAGGCCTGAGAGACTTTGTGTCCTTCATAGAAGAATCTCTCATACCGGCAATTTATTTGTGCATTCTAAACCAATTTTGGGTGGAAAAGATGTATTATTTGCAGTCTATGGAATGAGGCCCTATTAAATAAAGTAAGTCTTTTGGTGTGTTAAATTCTACCTTTTTAACAAGAAAATATAATGCAATTTAGAAGGAAAAATAAGCAGTTTATCAAAGTTCACTGGGAAACTTCAATTTTTTTAAATTCATAATAATTTTTTGGTCTCTATACACTGCAAGCAGAGGTTTATCTCTTGAATGGCTTTTAGTGATTACAAAGTCGTTTGCATGGCTTAGCTTGACTGTCACGTGCCAACTATGTGATAGACAAGCCACACAAATGACTTCATTAACACTAAAAGTCAAGTGAGAGAAAACCTCTGCTTGTGGGGTATTGCCTCTATTAAGTATTTCCCATTCATCCATGAGTGTTTTTTTCCTAGGCATTTGTATGTATAGGGAGTATACATTACAGTCATTTCAAATGAAATGTGTGTTACAAATATTTGATAAAATATTTAATGACATAATTATTCAGTTATGTGTTATGTTATTTTACTGACAATTAAGGGGAAATAAAGCCTCAAGATTACTTCATGCTGTCCACACCAAAGTAAGTTGAACAATTTACATAAAAAATTATAGATTTTAAAAGGTAGGTTAAGGTGCTGATGAGCCAAGGAGGTCCATAAAACCAAAACCAAAAGAGACCAATATTTATTTTCTGTTAACAATACATAATCAAAAGAAAAGATAATGATAGTTAATAAAATGATCAGCTAAGGGAAAGTGCTGTGATCTTAAACCAAATTCTCTCAACTATTCTTAAAAGAGATGTATGGAGATCAGTCGGGAGAATTTGTGTGTGGATGTTGGGGTTTAAAGAGTTAACCTTAAACCAGTTTCTGAAGCATGGAGTACCAAAGAGTATTGCCCCTTCTCCCTAGATGGGATCTGATCAAAGCAAGCCCATCAGCCCAGCAGTATGTCCCCAGTATCCATTTACAGAGATATAGTCAAGCTAGGAATTTTATATGCCAAAGATAGAGCTCAAATCACATGATTATTTGAATTTACTACAATAACTACTTGTTCTATTTTGTATTACAGTAGTGACATGCTGAAAGGCTATGTTGCTGTTGAAGGGGAAAATATTTCAAAAGCCGTGAGTAAACTGTCACATATTAAATAATGGTATTAGCATAGGTAATAGCATGATTAGTAGTGACATTTGGCGTAAATACCATGGGTGATATTTTATTTGTTATACGTAATTTCATGAGCCGTTAGGTGAGTGACATTTGAGACAATTTTGAAATATCACGAGTGGTATTTATGCCAAATATCACGTACAAGGATTTTTGCTCTGTTTCACAGACAGACTTATCTAGAGTTTAGTTTCATCTGTGGCACAGACTAACTTACCAATACTACCCTGAAAAATGGCCTCAAGCTTGACAAACTGGTGTAGCTCCATCATTCCTCCTATGATAAAGCAAAGTAAATGTTCCAGTCATCTCCAATGTGTAGGCAACTGAGTAATGTAACATACAACTTTTTAAACTTAATTGTGACTGTGTTCCCATAGTTTAATGAAAAAAGTCTATTGAGACATTTAAATTTTGGTGTTTCATCATCTTCATTTTTCTTTGTCTTTTTCTATCCACACTGTCAGGACCTCAAATTCAAACTCCCTAAAGTTTCTAGTTCTGGATTTCGTGTATTTGTAAGAGAACGAATACCATGGAAGTTAAAACAGGTGACAACAAAACCCTTTTGCTGTTTATAATAGTAGCAATAACAATAATAATAATAATAATAATAATAATAATGTGATTAATGAATATCCAAACTCAAGTGCAATTTCCTGGATAAGAACTTAAGTATCTTTATCATCGTCACTCTGCAATACTATGCTTGAGAGGCTAAAGATCCAAAAGACGACAGCTAGACTTTGTTGACTCAGATGTACAGATTGAAAACATTAGGGCCTGCCCAAATTAATCTTTCTTTTTTTAGAAACATTTGAAAGAAACTTTTTAAAGGTAGAGGCTGATAGACATAATGGATGGTTTTGTCATGCACATGTTTTACAACGAATTTATAATATGTATTTTTCACCTAACTCCTATGCTTTTAGTTTTGAGAATTTCATGCATGTATATGGCAAGGAACTACATTACCCTACTGCATTTTTTCTTCGTTTTTGTGTTTAAATATCCAAACATTTTAGTGCACCATCTAACTTTGTTTTTTATGCTTGCAAATTTATACATTTAGATCCAGGATACTATTAACTACTTACAACTTGCTATAGATAAAGTTCAAGAAACTAAAGCAAATTGCAATTTCTCTTCTGGGCAAGAAATTGGCAAGGTATTTTAATATTTCATATGTAATATGTTTTAACCATGGTATAAATGTGAAAGAAAGATAGGGGAAATTAATGTGATAACCTTCAATGAATTATGTTATTTTCAAAATTTTGACAGTTTGTTAGGCCCTGGTCCCTTGTAGTTGTACATTGGTGGAAAATCCTCATAAAAATGTTTCTTTCTGGGTTTCTTGTGGTTGATTCTCATCTATGTGATCTTCTAATTTATTTTTATTTACATTAAATTAATATCAGCAGCACTTTCTTTGTCCCGAATAATTTGTATTGGTCATAGTTCATAGTCATTATTCACAAAATCATTAACCAGTACTTAATATTGTTGTTTTCTTTATGACAGGTTGTAGATGAAATAACAAGTTTTTTGACCAAGGGAAAAACAAGGCTGTCTTTGCCTGAGAAGACACCTGTTTTAGATATGTTAACATCTGGAGACCAAGTAAATGTTACTTGTTTTTTGGCAGTGCTAACGGTGACATAAGAATGGAAGCCCAAACGTAACAGGGGTGGGAAAAGGATTGTTAGGAAAGAGAGAGAAATTTTGTAATTTTGTAACTGCACAAAGTCTGAAATATTGATTTAGGGTGTCTTTTTTTAATGTCAAAAATAGACTTCCATTCAGACTCACAAGAGAATAGCATCTCTCCCTAAGATTTGCAGGAAGCTGCAGGGCATAAAGAATTAGTAGGCAGGCAGTTGAGTAACTTACCGTATTTTGGCAGAAATGGTCTGTCCACGATCTTGTGCTTGTGATCCCCCCTCCACCCCTTATCAAAGTTGCTAGCAATACAAGATCATGCTCAAAACTCGGAGGAACAACGTTGAATGGGAGGGAGGAGGAGGGTCAGTGTTATATCTCACAGACCTGTGACCAGCAGGGATTTGAAGCAAAAAAGATCATTTTTTCGAGGGAATGTCTCAACATTTCTGCAACTGGTTGTAGGAAGTTCTTTTGGTGCTATTTCCTTTTGTTTTGTCGTAAAAGATGGCCATGGGTCATGGTCGTAGTAGCCTGGAGAAGTCCCTTAATGGAACCGAAAAGCTGTTGTTGTTTACATTTAAGATAGAGGTCAGAGATAGAGGTTTTAATAGTTTAGCAAATAACAAGATAAAACTATCAGTTAAATATTAAAAACTTTGTAGAATTTCTTGTGAGTGATTTAGAAGACAGTAGCGATTATTATTGTAGAAACTAATGTGATGATGTCAGCATGTTTCCCAAAAATAAATTGATCTTCACACTCTTGGCACGTTACACTTGTATCTACTAGATTATAATTTATTTAACTCTTTCAGCGGGTGTTCAAGCCTGGTATGCCAGATGATGTGGTTGCATATTTCTGTCTCAATGGCGACAAACTTGTTCTGTCAGTCTACACCTTAACAACCCTCCCTGTACCACCTCAAAATAGTGTAAGTTTATTTCAACATAGTTATTGTAAAGTTATACTGAAATGAAAAACAAAAGTGTGCCAACTCCACATGAACAGGAGCCAAAATTAAAAAGACATCCTAAGCTACAGTAGGATATCTCATAAGATTATGCTTTCATACTATACAATGGCCCTGGTGTTTGTTTTGAGACAATACTTGAGGTACATCTTTAAACTTTGTGAATCCAGCACCTGGCTTGCAAAGGTTCAACATTTTCCCCTTACAATGTTTCTTGCTTTTGACATAGCACTAATCATAGCACTTTTCTGGGTTTACGTCACTTAAACCCTTCTATAACAAATTCTCTGCAACTGTGTGGAGTTGTTGTGTGTTAGTACTGGAGGAGTTGCAGCTGAAAGGAAACTGATACCTTAAGTCCAGACCCAAGTTCTGGAAAAAACAAACCTTGCCCTATTTTCGACCCAACTGGTTAAAATCTCTACTTTATTTTTAGAAAATTTTAAACACTTTGTTAAGAAATTGCCTCCTCTAGAGTTTATGCATTGTAATTTTTTTAGTACTATTGGTGGTTTTTAATCCCTTTTTAGCTTTTATGGTTTTAATTCTTAATTATGTAAAACTGAAATAGTTTTTATTACTCTTTAATTTTTCACACGACCACATCAGCGTTGCTCTAATCTTATCGTGTATAAATAAAATGCTTTACTTTTTTTAATTACTTATTTATTTACTTCCTTTCTCATCACAACTTTCTTTTGTAGTAGTAATTTATTTAGAGGTCAAATTTCAGGTGTTTGTTTACTCTTTAGAAACCTCCCCAGGATAATGACCCTGTTGGACAAACATTGTAAGTAATTTCAATGATAATCTTTTACAATCTTGTGTAATATTTAATACTAAAAATGTGTATTAAAATCTATCCTTTTCACTGTGCATGCACATTTATTTTGATGTGCAAGGGGTTCATTTTCAAGGTTGTAGGGATTGTTATTTTTGTTCACTGAAACGTGTTCTTCTCAAAATATAGCTTTTGCGGAGAAGAAAAACAGTTTTGATGAAGTAGCTCTGCCAAGCCAAAGTTTGACCTGAGTCACATTGTTATTAAATAGTATTATAGTTTCAACCACCAGCCCTCATCAACAACGCATCTCTATGATACTTCTTTCCTCAGGATCTTGTAAAAGTACCTTCTGAACTAACTTCATTCCAGGGGTCTTTTAAGATCTCTAGGCGTTGGAAAGAAGAGAGACCCTGGGAACAAGTTTTCATGTCAACAGGGCACCCAGTTAAGATTGAGTAAGCGAATCAGGCCTCGTTCATCCTTCCCACTTCTTATAATACGTGCAACTTCTCACCTTTTTGTCCTATGCCTATAACGACTGTTCACATGCTGTGGAAAAGTGACCATCCACTTCAACCGCCATCACCATGCGCGGGACTTTATAACCGCAGTTCTTTTTTTCCTCATGCAGTGAGTTCAATGGGAAATGGATGGAAATCACAAGTCACTTCGAGGTAAATTTTGGAAACCAACTTTAGTGTCATCAACTGAATGAATGTTGTCTGAAACCTTTTTTTGCACAATAATGCATTTCTATCAGTGTTCTAGGAAAAAACTGTTCTGAGATCTTCCGCCCATTGCTTAATACACCCATGAGACCAGAGGATTTTTTAGTAATAATTACCTGAATACTTTGAAACGCATGCTGCACAATACGAGCTGCGATCCGGCTGAAACGGCAAGTCGGCACTTTCAGCGCAAGTTATCGCAGCCAAATAACTTAAATCGGTTTCAACTCTGCACAAGTTTAAATCGTCCTCTCACTAAAAAAAGTGGGGCGAGATAATTTTCGAAAAGACTTCTGGGACGGTTACTAGGGAGGGGAAAAAATTGTTTGCCATTTACAAAAAGTTTACGGAAAATCCGGTTGGAAAATAAATGGAACACGCCTTTTCGGGTTGTTTCAGTAGAAAATTTCTAAGCGTAACGGAACGTCTGAAAAGGTACTCCTGCTTTTCAGGTTGGAATGTTCCAAACGGAAATTCATTTTCCATTTCTTCAAAGTTATATTTGATACTAGTTTCAGGCTTTCGCGGCCGTTTTCCGTTTTTTTTTTTTTTTGTGCAAATAGGAGACAACCAAAATCGCCAATAGCTGACACGCACAAACCGACGCGTCTCCAGCAACGATCCCAGAATACATTTCTGCTCCTGTTCCCTTCTCGTTTCCTAAGTGGCCAATTGTGAAACGTTTTTCCTCTTTTTGCCATAGGTTGATTGTTCAATTCCCAGATTAAGTGACTCTGTGCTGCTAATTGGAGCAGCATTACGGCTCTGCCAGCAATTAAAAGATAAGGTTTGGATCATTTCTTTTAATTATAACGCTAAAGTGAGATGCCGGTTCTCACTGGTGCACGTGGACATTTTGTGAAAGAAGATCAACTCTGATTCACTTTGGTGAAGTGAATATGCAGAGATGTCAGGGGCAGATCTAGGGGGAGGGTGCAGGGGGTGCGCACCCTCCCCTGAGATGACCTGCGGTTTTCTAACACAATTGGTATTCAGCAAAAAAAAAAAAAAAACGATGTGCTTTATTGGTGTTGAAGTAGAGCAAGAGACGAGTGCACCCCCTCCTAAAAAAAATCCTGGATCCGCCCCTGTATGTTGTTACTACTAAAGTGCTGTTAGGATCTTTATCATCAAGAAATTAGACAACTCAAGCAACGGTGAGGGAGACAGCGCGGGCAACGAGAACGTCAAAAAAGTAAAACGTCTAGTGAGCAAAACGACAACTCTGCATGTGCTTCACACTTTTTAGAAAATTTCTTTGCCCTCTCTGCATGGCTACGAAGTGAAACTTTCTAGTTTCGCGTTGGAAGTGAAGACGATTTTCGTTTTTTTTTCTTCCCCACGTGGATACAGTCCTCAAGAATTTAGCCGGCGAACGCAGACGTATCTCCGGTTGTCTCTTCACTGCCCCCAAGCGACAAACGGAAATACTTGTGAATGTTAGGCTATCAAGAATTGAAAGCCAAAAACTAACAGCATGAGTGCATTTTTAAGTGACGTTTACGCTGGCGTCACCGCTGTTGCAAAAACCCCCTGATCATGTAGCCTGCGCCTGCGCAGTAAGCGTTTGCGCGCGAGTTTTTTCCTGATATTATGACGAAGAGAAAAAAGTGGGGCCGTGGTTGTGATAAAATGATGTCGTTGACAGTGATGCTGATTCTTTTTTTTGAACTATTAATATTGAAGTTTAAAGAACTTAACCTGTTCCTAGTGTTCTACCTGAGCTGTTGCTTTTTTAAAAAGACAAAAAAATGTGTTTCTAAGTAATACTACGGAAGGATCAAAGTTTTTTTTCGCGCTCATGGTGCCCCGCACCTCGTTCATTTCCAGTCGTTCCCGTTGACTTGTGCGTCCTATAGAAAAATGCATGTTAACAGTGGGTAAGGTTAATGACTTTTTCCATTACTTTGGCCAAAACAACAATTTTTATTCCTTGCTAGTTTTGTTACTGTCAACTTAATAAGTTTTGTTTTGTTTACAATCTTTTCCTTTTCAGTTTGCAGTGTTTTCCGTTCTTGGTTCAAGATGATTTAGGTAACTGGCAAAAGTTCTAGAGGCCCTCCAAAGAGTAAAAAATTTTTGACTATTTATTGCTACATTAAATGAACAATACACTAATTACATATTAAAAAATGACTGTTAGAGCGGTTTTCATTTGAGTGTCGAAAAGTAATTGGTTTTGCACTTTCTACACGACGCGATTGGCTTAAAAGATTCGCGCCACCTTTTCATCCAATCAGAAGTA